TTTTCAAATTGCTCAAAAGGTATCCATTCTAAAATATAGTTTGGCAGAGATGATTTCATTTGACATTGTTGAATAAAATTATCAATTATGTTATTTTCAGATGTCCAAGTATTGAAAAGACTCTGTAGTTGTAAACTAATACAACCTTCACAGAATCTATCAGAGTATCTTGTTATTTTACACTTGTTACATTCTTTTGGTTTGCCTTCTTTATATGTTACATTATTTAATTCAAGGCTATAAATAAGCCATTCTTTACAATATTTTTTTTCATTTTTAGAGAGCTCCTTATTTTTTTCAACTAATGAAAAAAAAAAATCTTTTGCACTTCCAGAACTAGCCAGAGCATTATTATACATTTCATTTTTAATTTTATATACAAATTCACTTCTTTTTGATGATAATAAATTATTAAATGACATTTTAACTTTATTTAATATTTTTTTTTTATAAATTTATTTTGGAAAAAGGTAAATTTAATACCAAAAAATTTTTTATGAATGATGTGTAACAAACAATTCTACTCTTATTTCTAACTTTTTATTATATCGATGGGTTTTAACAGTTAACTTCAGGAAGATATTCTTGATAACTCATTGATACTGTTTTCAAACTGAGATACATTTATAAAGGGATTTTAGACATGTAATATAATAATAGCAACCGTTTTTGTATAATTTGCATTATATTCTTTTGAAACATGATTTTTAAAACTCCGAATGAATGCAAATTGATAAATTAATTCTTTTCTGATTGATGCAATCTGCTTGTAATGACAGAATTATACAGGCACAGCAATCCACTCTATAACTTTGCCTTTAGAAAACTACAATCTGCTAATGGACTATCCAACTTTTAATTATGGTTGCTTGCCAAAACTCCTCCAGAAATCATTTGGCAAAGTTTTAGCAAGTTACACACTAATTGTTTATTAAAGTTTTGCATTTGGGGGTTTTGGCAATTGGTAGAGTTTTGGCAACATACACACTAATTGTTTATATGGAGCAATTTACTTATGTTTAAATTGTATTTTTTTTTTTACCCGTGAAAGAACTTTCAAGGAATTGTAGAAACAAATAAAAGAAAAATCCTTTCGTTAATTGTAATCACTGCATAAAACATATAAAATTCATAACATTAAAACATATTAATAAAACATTAATAATTGAACAAATAACCTTACAGAGTTAATTCGTGATACGTGATAGAAGTAGATAAAATTCTGAAAATTAATTAGTAAATTGTGGGGGATCATCACTATCAAATGGTTACAATTGACCAACTTCCAAATTTTTTCTACCAGCACACATGATAAATATTACACAGAATATTAAATAATATGATGCAAAAAATCTCAACCATTATTTTGACATATTTTTTATTATTGTTTTCTTTACAAGTTTTTGACTTTGCTACTTAGCAACCCTGGATTTCAGAAAACGTGGCGCAGTATGCACTTCTATCATGGATCACGAATTAAGTATTATTAAATAAATAATTTGAACAACATAAAGTACATATCAAAATTTTCCTAAATCCTTATCATCATACCTTAATGACTGGAAATTTTTTGAATGGTCAAAAGATGGTTGGTGACAATGCAATGCTGCTAAATATAAAATAAATATGCAGATTAGTCAAGATAAATAATCAAAATATTTTAAATGATTACAAGTTGGAGCAGTGATAAACATGAAAATTATTGCAAAAGATAAAATATCTGGGGGAAATTGAAACGATTTTATTTTAGTCTTTTATAATAATAGTAATAGTAATAGTAGAAATTGCATGTAGAATCATGTTCGTTTTATTGTAGTATATATGCCCATAAAATCATTAAAATCATTAAAAGAACTCCGAAAAGTGATAAATAAATAGTAATAGTATTAGTTAGTATTAGTACTATTTGTGTGTGTTACATTCGATATATAATTAATTTTTTAAAAAAAATGTCTTTAATTGAGTATGATGACGATAATGTTTTAGCTGTAGATGTTAGTGGTCTTAATTTTAATTATGGTGGGCCATCAATTTTAAATAATCTAAATTTGCAATTGAAATTGGGAAGCCGATGTTTATTAGTTGGTAAAAAAATGATTTATCTCATCTTTTTATTTAAATGAATTAATTTGGAGATAAATAGAGAATATAAACTGTTAATTTTTTGAAGGTGCTAATGGTGCAGGAAAATCTACATTATTAATGATCTTGGCTGGTAAAAGAATGGTAAGAAGTAAAGTTCTTGTGCTTGGGAGAGATTCATTTAATGATCCAGTTCCAGTAAGTAGTATTTATTATTTTTTTAAAAAATATTTTTTAAAAGAATAACTTAAACAACATTTCTTATATAGGGAATTAGATATTTAGGAACAGAGTGGGCAAATAATCCAACAGTAAAAGGTGATGTAATGGTATCAACATTATTATCAAATATGAATGGTGACAAATATCCTGAAAGAAGAGATGAATTAGTTGGAATTATGGATATTAATCCTAAATGGCGTATGCATCAATTATCAGATGGACAACGTCGTAGAGTGCAATTAGTGTTGGGGTTGATTGAACCTTGGAATATTTTATTAATGGATGAAGTGACTGTTGATCTTGATGTTTTGGTTAGATCTGATTTGTTAAGATTTTTAAGAAAGGAATCAGAAACTAGAAAAGCTACTATTGTAAGTTGAAAAATTTTTTTAAAAAATTGGGAAAAAATATTTATTTAAATTTAAATTTTTAGATTTATGCAACTCATATTTTTGATGGTAAATAATCTTAAATACACATATGCTTATATATAAACACACTTGCATATCCTCATAATTTTTTTATTTTATTTAGGGTTGGGTGATTGGCCATCTCATATAGCTCATATGAAAGATGGAGCAATTATAACATTTCGTGATTTTTATCAAAATTTTCCTGAACTTGATAATACAATAAATCAACAACTTGAATTAAGATTATTGAATGATACTAGTAGTAGTAGTAGCAGTAGTAGCAGCAGCAGTAATACAACTATCAACAACAATAATAACAATAACTCAGATAAAAAATTATCACCTGGAATCATATCACTCCTTCGTAGAAATATGGTTTCACCATTGTTAAAAGTTGTGGAACAATGGTTAAGAGAAGATTTTTTAGAGTTGAAGAAAAGACGTGAATTAGAAAAACAAAAAGTAGAAAATGAAAGAGATAAAGTTTTATTAGGTGAAGAAAATCCAAAAACAAAATGGGATAGATTAAGCGAAGATGCTAATACTCATGGTGATAAATATTATAATTACTGGAATAAAAATTAGAAACATTATTTTTAAATAATTAACAGTTAATGTTAAATTGCAAAAAAAAAAATTAAAATTATGAATAATCAGTTCTATATTATTATAATAAACCTTAGATGTTTTGAAATGTCTCCAAAAGCAGCAATGTGATAATAATAATAATAATAATAATAATAAGCACTGAATAATTGATTATTGATTGACAATTCACAAAATCACCTAACCAATCTCATTGACCTTTTCAATCCTGTTCCTTTATCATCCTTATAATAATTAAATTAAGAATAAAATTGGTGAAATTAATAAGTCCCAATTAATTAAAAATTCGCCTTTATTGTTATTTATCACCAGGAAACATCGAAATCAAGATCATAAGAATTACAATTTCTGAAATCATTAATTCGTGATAATAATTAAACAGACATCTTTATTCATGTCTACCAACAAGTCCTTAAAGGAGACATAAAAGACTCTCAAATCATTGACTTAGTATATAGTTATTTTTGTTAAGAATCCAGAACAATTATTCAAATTACATTATCAGGGAATAAATCAAATTTTTATTGTTTTTTTTAGTTTTTCTCTTTGCATAGAAAACCATGAATGCCAGTATTATCTATATAAAAGTCACCATAATTTCTAGGTGCATAAGGTGAAATTAATAGAGAGATAGTTCTCAATCTATTATCATTAACAACTCCATAATCTGTTAAGTTTCTTTGAGGTCTTGCTAACATTATCCTTGCATTTATTGTATTATTCCAAGCTAATCCTAATGCAGGGATTTTATTACCTTTACCTAGTAATAATTGTTTTTGATAATGATGATATTCAATATTACCACTACCATCACCACCACCAATGTTATAATTATTAAAATTATTATTAACTTCATTAATATGATTAGTTTTAATATGATTGTAATTATTATCATCATTAATATTATGATTATTATTATAGTCATTGTAATTATTAATATTATCATTAATATGATTATTATTATAGTCATTGTGATTATTATTAATAATCTTATCATTGTTATTGCAATGATGATTATTGTTGCGATCATAATTATTGTTGTGATCAGAATTACTGTTGTAACCATAATGATTATTGTTGTGATCATTGTCATTGTAATCATAATTGTTATAATAATTATAATTAACATTATTATTTACCTCTCCTTGCTCATAATTCATCATATTTGACATTGCCCCAATATTATAATTATTGTTGTAAGTATTATTATTGTAAGTGTTATTATTGTAATCATTGCAAGTATTATTATTGTAATCATTATAAGTATCATTATTATAATTATTGTAATTATAATCATTGAAAGTATTATTATTGTAATCATTATAAGTATAATTATTGCAATTATTGTAATCATTATAATTGTTATTATTGTTGTAATTAATTTCACTGTTACTGTTATTATGATTATTATCACAATTACTTTCATAATTACTATTACCACTATAGTTAATATTACAATAACTGTTGCTTTTATCAATTATTGTGCTATTGATTTCTTCTTTGGTAAACAAATCAGATACTTGATTTACACATATTATTGGTAGTTGATATTTATGACTAATTTCTTTAAGTTTGATTCCTAGTTTATAAATTTCTTTTGATCTATTTTTTACATTTAACAATCTAAAATTAGCAGTAATTGAATCAATTATTATCAATTTAATATTTCTCTTGTCTAATATTTCTGATAATTGATAATTTAATATGTGATCTTGTTTGTAAATATCCAATATTGAAATATAATAAACTTCCTTTGCCATATCTAAACTTTTTGTTATATTGTATTTATTCTTTATCTGTGCCATTATTTGATTAAATCTCTCCAATGGAAATCCTCGGCTTTCTGTAGACACATAAACTGCCCCTCCTGCAAATCCTCCAAATTCTATTGGTAATTGAACCGTTAAACACAACTGCAAACATAATTGTGTTTTACCAACTGAACTAACAATTTTTAAAAAGTTTCCCAGCCCACCAATAAAGGATAAAAATCAAAGTTAGATAAGTAAATAAAATGCACTAATATAAACCATAATGTAGATCAAGTTTAATAATGCACACACCTTTCACCAACAATTTCTGTAATGCCTTTATTATAAATGCCTCCTCCAATAATCTTATCAATTATTTGATCACCAGTAGTTAATATACGATATTGTTCTTTACCAGTTTTTAATGGATAACTTAATTTTTTAGTTGATGCAGTTTCATTCATATATTCAAGAATACAAGTTATCAATTCATTTATATCTCTAATTTTCAAGTTTAATTTCACTGACAAATCAAGCATATTTTCTTGTAAAATGTCTTCAATAGTTTCATAGTTTGCTGTAAATTGATAATATATATATATGAATGGATATAAATATTTGTAGTAATGTTTTGGTAAGGATATAACAAAAAGAAGAAAAATATTATTTAATAAAACAAAAAAAACATAGTAATAAATAGTCCAAAGAAACTACAAATATTATAATATTTTTATTATTCAATGTCCAAATATATACATTGATTTATTGCCTTGGCTATTCTCGGTCGTAATATTATATTTCTGAGTTCTTCCATTTTGAAATGATAGTGATTAAAAAAAATAAACAAAAACGCGTGTAAAGGAGATCATCATTATATGGGGCGCGGAAAATAGAAACAACCCGAACTGCAAAATCATGATTTGAGGTTTAGTAAAAATAGGGGCTGTATTCCAAACAAATAATGGGCGTCCTCAGAAATCTTATTATTATCCCGTCCGTACCTATCTGTACATTTCGGCGCATTTAACAAGAAGATTCCGTACATTTTTTCCGTACCTATTCCGTAAAACAATACGGCTCATTATCATGTACTGTTTTTTCGTATGTTATTTTTTATAGGAAAAGGTTATCATTACTCAGTGACTCCTAACACACACATCAGCAACATCCTCATCATCAATTATTCTCGGTGTTTTTTATATTTGCCCTGTTTGGTATTTGAAAATGATTCTTTCTGCAACCAATATATATCTAATTAATATTAATTTAGATTTGCCCTAGAATATCTTCAATGAAGATTATTTCACCTCCTTTTTCTTAATATTTAAGTAATTTAATTCGATAAGTCGGTTTACTATATAAGTCGGTCATATGAGCTCACCCCCACACGACCGACTTATCGAGTTTACATATGTAATAATAATAAATCGATAAATTACAAAACGACTTTTTTATTTCGAAAAGCAACGTTCTTTCAGGTGCTGTATATTTAATAAAACATTAATTTTATTCATTCATTAATTCTTCTACGTGATTTATTATTTTTACAAGGACCCCAAAATATTAATAGACAAGGTTTGAATTTGCGTATTCATCATATGAAATTTGCCAAAAATTTGAACATTTATGTAAGCATCCATCTATCCTCCAAGATAATCATGAACGCTAACCTGTTCAACAGAATTAGAATCAAAAGCCAATAGTAAATTGATTTTTAATGAACTTAAAGTATGCTCACCAGTTCTCTCTTAAACGAGAAATTGTCCAAAACCTTTTACTGCAATTAGAAAATTCTGAATAACAATTAAAACAAGTTAATGTTCTTGTCCAATATATCAATTTAAAAAAATTAATCACGCAATGGAACAAAATGTTCATCCCTTTAATATTAAACGGTCTAAATTTCGAATTCTGTTTTTTTTCTTTACAAAAAAAGTTTTTATGTAAAACCCCGCGGTGTTGAAAATTTTGATTAATTAATCGGTCATATGATTTATTTTCAAACGCGTTTTTATATATTAAATATTTTTTGTGTAGTGTTTTGTTGTACAAGCTCTTTTAAAAAGCTCTGCCGCGTATCTAGATGAAGAATCTAAGACAAGGAAGATTAATAAACATATTTAATTTTATTAAAAGTATTATTGGTATGGCTCTGAAGATAATTTACAACGAGCTATTATATATTGAAAAAAAAAGGTATCGTTTCTAAAACAAAAGAAGTAACAGATAAACTTGCTAGGATGTTAAAAGATGGTGTTATTAAACAGAGTTATCATATCAAATATTCTTTTTCATATGCTTCACTTCTTCATATGATTCACAAAAGTTACATTTTATGTCAACTTCTTCCTCAACAACAACATCACTGTCACCATTTACAATACAAGTGATAAAGGTTACTCGAAGATCGTCAAGTGAAGAAATATTTATTAACTTTAAACATTATAATAGATGATTTCATGAAAATGGGCCATCCAATAATTGAGATCTAATTCTCAATTAAAGATAAAGGAACGATGACAGTATTATTTGTTCGAGACTACATCATAATCATCAATCATGTAAATTCTTCTTCTAAATAGTTGATCTTGGTATACAGGATCAGGATGTATTTTAATCTCAATATCATCTTAGATAATCAACAACAACAACGAGAAGAAGCTGGTTTAGTAGTAAATATTAATTTAGATGCTTTAAATGTTGCTAAAAAAAGTCTAAATCCTTTAATTGATAGTACCAAAAATAATGGAATGACCTTAGCGATAATGAACGTTTCTAGAACCATCTGAAGCTTTAGGAATCGGGATTTAAAATGAATTGACTACTTCATCAATATATTGAATTGTCATTTGAAAAAAATACTTTCAATGATATTCCAAGGATAGAAACGTATAAAGGGATGAAAGTTGCTTGGTAATAATTATATGTTTAATGGTCATGTAATTTGTAATATTCAGGTGGCAGGTCACAGTTTTGGTTAGTAGAACATTTGATCAACCCATTTCAAGAATGACACGATCATAAAATGTTTCACTCGGCGAAAAAAATTTTCTTCCACAAAAAATTTAGTTCTCTCTTCAACAAAAAAATCAGTGCACAATCGTTTATTTGGTGAATTTGGTGATTTATTTTTTATTTAGGAAAAAAATGGGACATACACCTATGCCTATTACAGCCACAATACACACTAATTCTTTTTTTTTCCCATTTCTTCATTATTCCAAAAAATATATACATATGCAAACACACACATACGCATATATGGTTATGCAAAAATTAAAATTTACTATTTTTACTATTATAGTGTCAAAGCCTTCCAGGGTGGGGTTAATGAGTTAGTATCCTGCTCTAACGACGGATTTTAAATCTCGAGGAGGCAGGGTGACAGATTTCTTAGGGATTTCTGGACTTGTTAATGGCCGTTCTGGTTCTTAAAGTTGTTGTTATTCGAGAGGGTACGATAGCCGACGGTTCTTTTCTTGATATGGTTTGATAATAGATTACATATAAAACTATTAAGCAGATCATTCGTTTAGTTACCTACGCTGTACGACTCTTTCAGTGAGTATCAACATTTATCGGGGCTCTGGGTCTGATCGTTGGGGATGGGGATAGCGTTCGAAGGTGCTATCCTTGATTTCAATAATAATTATATATAAAGTTATTAAGTAAATCATTCGTTTGGTACCCGCGTTGTTCTCTGAACTTGGCCTGCGGTTAGCATTTGAAGGTCTGGTCGTTGTGATTTGATTGGTTTATCTGGTCAAAAATCAGCGATTCTATTGGATTTCTGGCCGGCTGATTTCTAGGTTAACGGATTCCTTAATTTTCCTGGAGCTCGGGATTTCTGTGTAATAGGGTAATTATTAATTCTATTAATCCAATTTATTTTGAATATGCGTGTGTGTGTGTTTGAGAAACTTTGGATTTTGATCATAGCTAGCAGTGGAATTAAGACATTACTATTTAAAAACGGAAAGATGTATCTGTAAACACTTAATTTTCATAATATATTTTTAATAATGAATAAATAATGCATTAAAAAATGTTAAAATTAGTAATGCCGAATATATAGTGTTGAGTGATTTAAAAAAAAAATTATAAAAAAAAAATATGCAATGCATGAAATTTTGAAATTTCATATTTCATATCCCTAATTATTATCATTTGATTTTGTTTGCTCCAAGTATATGTTCAAAAGGACATGGCAGTGATATACGCTGTATTCCTAGAACATTATGATTAGGGTCGAGAATTGTTTTCGTTTTTATTTTATTATTATTATTTATTAATATCAATCATCTGTATTTTCTTATCGATTCCTAAACTTGTTTGGCATTTGTTAAACCCATATTTATATTTATATTAATATATAGATGCCTAAAACTAAAACTCATAAGCGTTCTCCTCAGGCCATTCCACGCCGTAATCTCGCCATGACCCGTGTCAACGATTAGATAAATTAAAAGAACATATATTGGTGTTAGTATTTATTTGATTTACTTTGCATTATAATATATACATTCTAACACTTGGTTTGATTTCTTTTTATCATTTAATTATATAGCAAAACGGAATAGCTTATAACCAAACAATAGATTATTGTTATAATTGGAATGCCCGTAACATAAGGGATGAAAATATGAAGAACTGGATGACATTTTGGAGCATTGGAGAAAATACGAACAAGTATTTGCTCTTCAAAGTGATGTAAATCAACGCCTCGTCCGTGCTCAAGTTAGCATATTAATATGTCATTCATTATTTGATTTTTTTTTTGCATCAAAAGAATATCTTGCATATATATTAATATATATAATTTTAAAAAAAAATTTTTTTTTTTATTATATAATTTTTTTTTAAAATTCTTATATTTTAATTAATAAAGACTGGAGTCTGAACTGAACCATAGGTCTTTTTTAGACCATTTTTGAAACTGACAGTTTGGTCCGTCTTTAAATAACGGTGGGGCATGTATATATCTCTGATTTATTTATTAATTGAGCGTTTTACGCGTCAGGATTATAATTCTAGGTATTCTAAAAAGATCAATGGCAAAAAAGAAAATGGCAAAAAAGAAGATTCAACTGCTATATACAGAAATGGTGTCAACAACAAGGAAAGCGTCATCATCAAAAGCAAAAGGCAAAAACCATTTAATATTAATTATAAAATGGACCTCGGGCGATTTTCGGTAAAGGTCCAATGTGCGAGATTCGATATGTATTTGTAGAATAATGAGGAGTTACTATTATATACTATGTATATATTAATATATATATATTTACCAAAAAAACAATAATATGTAATAAAATCAATATATATTAATATCAAAACTCCAACAATAATTCAAAGCTTCATCATATATATATGTATTTGTAGAATAATATAATTGAAAAGTTGTATATATATATATATATATGGATTTTAAAACAACCAAAAATCAAAATTAAATATAAATGGTGATCATCTACAAATACCAATTCATCTATCATTACGAATCCATCTATTCCGCCACCATCATTAACACCAGATATTTTCTGAAACATTCCTTCTGATATTGTATTGATATTCAAACCAAATGTATTCATTTTATTCGTCGATGATAATCCTTAACGAAAAATAGTTTCTTCCCATTACTCAATGGTTAAAATGGAATATTTAAAAGATGCGTGGAGCTTTGCCTATTACTATACTTATCCATCTTCTTTTTCTAAAAGCCTAAAGTTTCGATTATGAAATACGATTAAAAACTTTGGAAATTTTGCAAAACGACAAAATCAGTAACAACAGGAAATTGGATACATCCTCTTCTGGGATATATAGGAAGTTTGATCTATATTTGGGATTAAAGCTAACTTTTTTACGAGGAGATGAAGAATCATTCTGTTGTATTACATGACGTTTTATCCACATGTGAATCTCGTATAAATATATATTAATATAATACATTTTTAAACAATTATTGTAATAGCGCGGAATCTCCTATTGCTGCGCTGCAAAATTTGATTACTTTTTTTAAGAGAATTTCCAAAATTCACATGATTCATGTAATTAGAAAAAAATTATTTTAAAAAATTATTTATTAGATTTTATTGAGTTAGAACTGACGAATTTGCAATTTATCAAACATTTGATAGTTAAAATCATTATCAAGAGCATCATCTTACCAAATTTCACCATTTAATTCGTTGTCAGATGATAATTCAGATTCATTTTCTGAACCAATTATTATCTCAGAGTCATAAACTGTTTCTTCTAGAGTTTAAAGAATTGTTATCAACAAAATCTTGATGGTTTAGAGTCTTTTACATTTTTTTAATAGATTATTTTGATATTTAGGAGGAGTTGTAAAGCATTACTTTACATTTCAATATAGAATTAAAATCATAATTTATTTGAACACGTGCGAAAAATGAATTAACTTTGAAATAATCTCGCAATCTACTTTGAATTTAGTCAGGATTTTCGCGGAGAAATTCTTTGTGAATATAAGAAACCCACAATAAATAATTTTTTTTCCCAAAATCTTTCCATTACATTAAAGCTAGAGGGCTAATCTATCAATCTATGGAGTTAAACTTTTAAAATACTTGAGTCATATGTTTTCAAAAGTCATACAAAATTTAGGAGTATCGCGTCATAGAATGAGGTATGAACCACCACTAATTGTAATGTTTACATCTTTAAGATAGAATTTTGGTTCCTTAAAATCAGCTTTATCATTATTTTTTGAAGATGATTCTTTTTCAATATTAAACAACCAATAAGTTTATTAACTAAATTTTTATTATAATATTAGATGATACTAGCATTTCCAAAAAAATATAAAATCTGAAGTTGAATTTTATTTGACATTGCAAAAGAAGAAAATCCACTCCTTTGGTGGAATCAGAAAAAAGTAGTCCTACCAAATCTAGCAGTTCAAGCTAGGGATTATTTAGCTATACCAACAACCTCAGTTCCATCCGAGAGGTTGTTTTCCTCAGCTGGCAACATCTTCACAAAAAAAAGAAATATATTGAACCAAAATAATATACTGTTTTTGAGAGAAAATTATAAACTTTTTGATCAATAAGTTGGTTAATTTTTTTAATTTTTATATTAATTGATTTTTTATTATGTTTTAATTGAATTCTTCAATAAGAATAAATAATTCATTTGATCTATTTACCATATTCATCTGCGGTGATTTTATTTATGTTGTGCGTGAAAATGATTTATTTTTACTATATCTATATTAATATATACTAAATATTTTTGGATACAATAATTCTGATTGGCCAATTTAAAATTTCACGCACAACGTTTAGTAAAATAATAAAAAACTCCGATTTTTAGTGATACAAGTTATTTGCTTACTAAATTATTAGATAAAATTTTTTATTCGGACCGGACACTACCGACAAGCATTGTGTTAACAATTTGCCAAGGACTGTGTGAAGACTCGAATAACTAGCTAAAAGTTTGGTTTTTTACAACAAGTTAAATCAACTGTTAATTAACTAATAACACCACTTATTATCCTTACTTTGCATCAAAAACCAGTTCATAAAAATACAATATGGATACATGTGTAATAATTTTTTTTTTGTCTGACGAAATTGATAAAAATTGCATATTCATGTTAAATTTATTATTATTTTTATATATACACACAAAAAAATTTTAAAATGAAATATTATGGGCAATGCCCCGAAGAAACTCTATAGTTGATCTAATGTTATGGTCATTTAATAAATACTGTTTAAATCCATATTTCATGATTACGATCTTGTGGTTTCTGTGGAGGTCGTGGTGTTCCTCGCAAGACCATTTCTATGTCAAGTTCAACTTTACTTTGATTGTCGGTAAAGTGTTCCATACCCAAATTTATTCAAGTTCTTAGCCGGCTAAGGTTTTTCTACCGGCTAACATCACTAGTAAAAGATTTTAGGGGTAATTTGTGAACCATAAATATATGATTTCATCTGATCTGCAATGCACAGCTCATCCACTGATGTCATTCAACATTCAACATTCAACATTCAACATTCAACATTCAATATTGAATTATTGATTGTTATCTTCTATCTATATAAACAGTAATTTGTTTGTAAAACTCTATTACTATTGTACATCACTTATGTTCGAACAATACTTTATATTTGTATTTGCTCAGAGTCGATGGCATTGAATATTAATGTCACATTTTGGTTAATATTATTGCAATAGAGTTTAACTAAATATAAATATTTAATATCAATCAAAAATGGAACACAAAATTATTGGTTAGCAAATTCACTTCACCAATCAATTTATTATTTGGTTATTATTGTTATTAAACCTCGTGTTCGAAACATCAATTCATGTGTGTCGATCGTTTAACAGCGAAATTTATGAAAATTATAATCCTTGAAATATAATTTATATAATAAATAATAAATAAAAACGCACACACACAAACACATATATAATAAATCCTTTTTTTAAAAGTTATTTGTTTAAAAAAAAATAATGACTGATAATAATTTTACATTAGTATGTTATAATGTTGGTAAATGTGTTTGTGATTTTCGTATAAATTTATATGGATGTAAAGAAGAGAATTTAAACATCGCGATAAATTATGTACTTTTATCAGTCACAGTAATTGGATTTCTCATGAGTTGTTATTTTTTATATTCACGTAAATTTATCAAAAAACAAACATTATTTTTCCCATACAAAACAAATGATGGGATTTTAAGACCTAGATCACAAGATGCTTTCCATATACTTGTAATAGTATTTTGTTTACGTAAGTATATTGATTAACATTCATTACTTATTGTATGAAATGAGACATGCTAAATCGTGTCTGGATATTCCAAATTTCCATCTGGAAATTTGGAATGTTTCATAATCGGACATACAATAAACCAGTTAGTTATAGTTAAATTTTGCTATCAATCAATTAATTATCCAATCAATTGATATTTCGCAGTTAACACCGTACACATAGCACTGCTACTTTCTGAAGCTTATCCAAGTACTATTCTGGCCGAAAGTAAGAAATGATTAGATTTAAATCGACCAAAATTTAATTGATTGATTGACGATAAGATAGGAAGAAGAATGTTATTGTGTTTATTTTTATATTTGTATTTATATTTATTGTTTGTTATCCGAATATTTGTATTTCTGTGCAGTTGGCCAGGATATTCCTCGATCTTTAGGTTTTGGTGTAGCGGTATTAATACCTATTAGCACAGGTAAGTAGGCAATAGGAGGTATCATTAATTAACAACCATTACAATTCATCACTTCTTATCATCATGATCTTCTTCTCATTATTAGTATATTCAACACCCAAATTAATTGCACACACAAGGACTAAAATGCTCTTTGATAAAGGAGTGATTGTTGATATTATTGGATTCACACAAATCATTGGACCATTTGTCACCTTAACACCATTTGCATATCTGACAGGATATTATGCACAAGATAATTATGATATAGAAAAATCTATATTTTACTTTAGGGTACACTACATATTATGGGGATTTTGGACGAGTTATTTTATTATTGTAATAATTATATTTTGGATAAATTTGAAAAACAAATTAAACAATTATATCCAAGAATTAGAAAACAGTCAAAATGAAGATTTGAATTTGAAATTAATCAAGATTAGAAAAGTCACAAAAAATGTAATTTTAATTTATTTGTTTATTGAAAATTTTATCAGCTTTTAATCAATTTAATTTCAACCAACTTATATATATATAACAGTTATCAATTATAGTATCGACATTTCTAAGCACGAATATTTCTTATACAATATTTTGTCTTGTTTATGGATTATGGCATCACAACATCACAATACTTATATCGATTATAAATTGGTTCTATTTCTTTATATGGAATTTTTCTTTGATTGTTATGATTATTATAACAAGGCTTATATTTACCTGCAAGTAAGTTGTTGGATTAGACGGTGGAAATTAATCAATTAATCCAGTTATTAATTATTATTACTAATTTTAGTATTTATAGAACTCTTGACGCGTCAAGAGATTCGAGCATCAACAGCAGTAATGATAATGATAATGATAATAACATTTGAAATCCCAATATTAATTTCACAACATTTGTATGGTTGAACGTGGTGTAACAAAATTTTTTTTTTTTTGAAAAAAATTTTTATCAATAATAAAATGAACCATTTTCAAATAATATTTAAATCCTTAGTGATAATAGTATTATTATTAAATGCAAAATCGCTCCCTTTCGCATATTTCTTAAGATATTTACCACCATGGCTTAGGCTTTATTATCGTGTGTATATTAATAATAAAGGAAGGGAAAAGAAACATTTATGGAGAATTGTTGAACAAACGCATACAGTGTGGCCTGATGATGTAAGTATATATACATCACACACACACACACACACACACACACATAGTAAATTCAATGAATGTTGACCTTTTGACCTCTCGCCTTTTGGCTCTTTGACGATGGCTATTTTTATAAATTTTTATTAATTATTTCAATAATATTGTTTACTTTAGTTAGATTCAAATATTCATATGAATAACGGGTAAGCAGTACGTATACTCTTCACTTGAGATTTTTATTTAACAAATAAATTAATCAATTAAATTATTAATCAAATAGATCTTATAGTAAAATGATGGATTATGCGCGTAATTTGTTTGCAACTGAACAATTTGAAGAATCCATTGTAAAAAAAGAACAGAAATTTATAGTTTCCGGTAAATATATAACAATAATATAATAAAATGATATTATATGTAATAATAACTTATAATAATAATGATGAATGCTCTCGTATAATATACTATTAGCTGTTTATACATATTATAAAAAAGAAATAGGACCATTTGTTAATTATAAAGTGTTGACTAGATTACTCACATGGAATGAGAAATGGTTTTTTTTATTACACACGTTTATTATAACTAAAACTGATGAAATAGTCACTATAGGTGTATCAAAATTGGTTATTAAAGATAAAACGGGGAAAACAATTTCACCTGAAAGCTTTTTTTTAGCAAATGGATTGTGTGATAATGAATCAGAAGACGATAAAATTGAAAGAGAAAATCTTCGAAAATTCGGATGGAAATTTGTTGAAGGCTTATTTGGGATTGAGGGATTGATTGATTTTAATAAAAATAACATTGATATTAATAACAAACGACCTGTTTCTAAACTTTAATAATCATAATTATTATTATGATCATAATTATAACTATAGTTAAATCAAAGCTTTGTCTTGCTTGAACTTTATGAGTTATCGTTACTCAATTAAAAGTGGATTATTGACAAAGCAATATTAAAATATAAATTACGTTTTTTTATTTTTTTACAATTAAAAAATAAATAGGTTTATTATCATAAATTATTAGAAATAAATTTATGATGAGGATAAACGTAAACACTATTAATTAAGTAATTTTACATTACACACATTTAATCTGCCATGAAATAAATATTTCGATTTGTTATGTACCAGAAGTTTACATTTTTTTTCTCATCTTTCGATATACTTGGTGTGAAATTTTAATAAATAGTATCACATTAGCATTTGTGATGGTTTTCACAATATCACATTCAATCAACATTACATTATGAAAATCCGACCTGGAGGCTCTTTCTGCTCCTGATTATAAAGGAATATCAAATCATTGCATTAATGATGAATTACTTCTTACTGCCTTCGTTTTAACAGTATTTTTTGTGAATTGTTCACGTGGTTTCTTATCAAAATTATATATGTTTAATTTCTTTTTCCAGATTCATTTAATATTTTAATAGTTCGACGAGTTAATTTTTTTGATCATTTGTTAAATTAAAAAAAATCACCATCAGAAGCTAAATTTGATACATTAACTTTCATAGTCACAAATATATATATATGCCCAGTACCTACATGTAGACATTTGTCGTAAAATAGGACGTCGTATTACATTTTGGAGGAATTTATTAGTGGGATAATGATGGTAAGGAAGATTATGGGTACTATTGGTAATCGTAATCTTTTCATCCCGCTAGATTTCGTTCAAGCTGATGGCAAATATTGTACTTTGATGCCTGTCTGCTGTAAATCGTTTCTCCATTGTTGAATTGGCTATTTCAACATTGATCTTTAATAAAATCATTCATCACATAAAAACAAAATATTTGTTAAATTACCACACGAGTTTATCTAGAATCTGTCTTACATTTTATCTATCCATCTGTTCCTTAGAATCTCGTAATTTATCAACTTCATCAAAGAATCCATTGGTTGGTTTGATCATAAATTAAATATACATTTTCCTTTTTCTTCTTCTTATCCACTTTTAGAGACATTTCGCTTGAAAGTACAATGATGGAAGACCAAATAATTAATTTCTCTATGAATACCTTAATAAAATTTACAGGTGATTGATCGATCCAATGGCAAATTATATTTTAGCACCTGTTTTGTTTAAACATGTCTTTTAGGGCCTGATTCATTTCGTCGACAATCATTTCGTTTCGTCGAAAGTTCATTTCGTCGACAATCACTTCATCGACAATTATTTCATCAACAATCATTTCATTTCATCGAAAGTTTGTTTCGTCGACAGTTCATTTCTTTATTATGTTTATGTGGAATAGGTTTACTAACATATTAGTTTAATTAGTGGATAATTTTGGTTTTAAATGTTTATT